AGACTGATTCTTGGTACTATATTAAATCGAACATTACAAAGTCTTTTAATTCACAAGAAACCAAAACGGCAGATATTGACGAAAATGGAATCTACAACACAAGTAGCTTCTCGAACAATTCATTAGATGTTACCTTATTGAAACATTATAGTTATAGCTTTATAAGTATTCTATTTCTTCATCTAGATCGATTTGTTCATTGTATATTATGTATATGATTTACTCATTTTCTTCTTTATATTTCACTTAACTATCAACTTGCATATTCCTGTATTTCTTTTTTTCTATAATTTTTTTTGTATCCATCCTTGCTATGTAACTCTCTATTTGAGACTTCAGCATATCACTCTCCCTTTGATTACTTTATCCCTATTTCATATCCACTAACTATATATACTTTTATTTTCTTTTAGATACTAAAACATATTTTCTATTCATCTTCAACACATATATATTAATGTTCAACGACATGAACGACAACTTCATACGAGAAACGTTAGAAGAATTATTGATTGCCCCAGCACTGAACTCATCAAGAACCAATGTTAAGGCAGATATGATCAAAAAACGAGATAGTATGCAATCAGACTTTTCAAAAACAGCATTAAGCGATTTCCATCTCATTTCTGCTAACATACCACATTCAGTTGGAGAATCTCTTTTATAATATTGGAAGTTTTAATCAATTATATAACTTTCTACTAATTTATTATTATGTCTTCTATTAAGATTAGGAGTTGTTCTTCTAAACCCCTGACTTTAGCTTGACATAGTAGGAGAAAAAATTAATATTTTAAATAATAAGCAATTGATAATTGACTATCTTTAGCAATAGTCGAAACCGGTCTTGCTAGCTTTATACTTTGATGTGATTTTCTAATCATTTCAACTCATATATCCACACACCCCACCCACACCCTGCTTGGACATCGAAACGTCTCGCAAAAATACAAGAAAAACGTCCGATTAACAATCCTACTTTCATCTTTTTGAATCCTATGGAGATGGGTTCATATACCAATCCTCCTATGAAACACAATCGTCCATATCAAAACTGAAATTGATATCAATCAACATTGATAAATTTATCGAGCTTAGATGGACTTTTGTTCTAGATTTATTTTGGAAACATATTTTTGTTAACGACTCGAAGAAATCAAAACTATAAAATTATCTTCTGAATATATGTACAATAACCTCTTTTTCTTCTAGATATACTTATTCAATAAAAGATGTCTAGTTCAAATCATCGCTCATCTAATTCACGGTCATCACGACGGCCTCAACTAATCGCCTACGTACAACCTCAACGTTCAGCAAGTGCTCCACCAAATCGACAATTTATTATTATTTTGACAAATAATCCTGAACTATTACGCCAAACTCGACCATATCGACCACGAGTAATAGAATAGTATTAATTTTAATATTTCATTCTAGTTTACTTTTTTTTTTCATTTTCATTATGTTTAGTTACAACAAAGTAGCTCTACCAATAATGGAAACAATGATCATACGAACAATAATCGTGAAGTCGTTCTAAATGATCTGCTACGTCTGGAATTAAGAGAAGCAGCAGTGGATTATCTTCGTCGAACACATCGTACCTATCCAATTCATTATGTTTTTGATATGAGTGACATTAATTCTGATCAAGTTTGATATCGAACATATAGGAGCTCATTAATATCCTTGCTCGTTTTGTTTTTTTTTTCAATAGAAAGAGAAATCGATTTATATGAAGTTAAATGTTGTTATTTTTTATTATTATCTATTTCAGATGAGTCGATCCAATAGACCTGCCACTCCTTATGTTCCAGTAACAACACGAACTGAACATCAATATTTCATTATAACACTCACCAATTTTCCGAACCTTTTGCGACGAACATCAACGTTTCAACAGGCACCAAATCAAGTAATATCAAAAATACTATTCTTAAATGATGACCTTTCGTATTTTAGCAATGGCAACAATATCTTCGAGATGGCACACTCACACAAGTTGCAGCTACACATTTTAATACTATTCATACTGAAGAACAACATGAAGCAATTCTTTACAATACATTACGATTTGAATTAGAAGAATGTGTTCGTGCCTATCTTCAACGTACTGGAAGATTATATCCAATCAATTTGATTTTTGGTTTTTCTCACATTGAACGGCATTCATGATTATTTCATGACTAGTTATATATTAGACTCTAGGATTTGTTTCTGAAAATTGGTTTTCATTATTTTTCTTTTTCTTTTTTTTTTTTGAAATATTGAATCATATGCAAAAAAGTGTGATATGACTCGATTTGTTATTATCAGAAGATTTATTTCATTTTTTTTTGTAGATTTTATTTTCCATTCGCTGACCATACACAAGCAATTATGGAATGTGATACAAAATATCTAAATCAAATACTTCGATGTTTATTCGGAGAACATTCACTTCAAGGAGATGATGATTATAATCATAATGAACATACTAATGATGATCAATGTAAAATGGAACCAATGGAAGTGTCTAACATGACTGATGTAGCAACATCTGCAGAAGCAGCAGTACATTGTGAAAATCAAGAAAATCAACGATATTGTCTGATAATATTTAATAATCCAAGATGGTCTCGAATTTTACACAAAGGATCAACAAACATTCCAAAACAGGTATCCCATTGAGTTTTTCTTTCAAAAAAAATTATTTGATCATATTTTCTAGAATATGGAACAACAACAAAAACAATTGATATCAGAGCAATCACAAGGAAATTTTCACGGAACATTCAACCCAACAGTTCAATCTTCCGTCAAAACTGAAAATAACGATACATCTTTGGATGATGTTTTTGTTAAGGAATTAAAAAAACTTATCACAGATTATATACAACGTACAACACGACCTTTGCCACTCAAATATTTTCTTGATTTCACAGAACAGTAAACTTTTCATCTATCTTTATTCATTTGTAATGTAGATGTGATTTTTTTTTCTATTCTTTTGTGAAGTTACCATTTTATGAAAAACAAAATATTTTTTGCAGGGTTGTGTACAGTAGCTGAAGTACATAGTATACGTTCAGATTTCGATTCTCTGAAAAGCTAACTTTTTTTTTAATCTCATACTGATCTCATTTGTTTCAGATTCACAATCCATTTTTCTTATAAATCCACCATGGCAAATGCTATTACAACTCTCAAATCAATAAATGATATTTTTGATATTCCTCATGATACTAATGATGGACTACAATTTGCAGTGGACATTTTAAATCAATATTATCGATCAGGTCAACTTCAGTCGACAAAATTCGTCGAGGAAAAAAGAGAAAATGATGTTCTCATTGATTCAGATTATATTGAAGTAATAAAATATTAATTTCTTTTTTTTTGGCTATTACTAATTGGTTCACTTATTTTTTCATATATTTCAGTTCATACAAAAAGAGGAACAAAATGAAGAAAATATTTTATCACAAAAATTAAGTGAATTAACAACAAAACCATCTGAAAAAATTTCAGTATCAACTTCGGTCGAAAAAAAACGTCGTGCTAGTACAGCAACTAGTCCAATAGTCTACGTGAAAAAATTGAAAACAACTGTTAGTGATAATGATGAAGATGATGATGTTATTGAAATTCAAATGGAGAAAAATGAAATACCACCTTATTTATGCTTCAATAATAAATTATTCATTCGAACATTTCAAGATTTCATGAACAATAATTCAACAGTCACTATTCATGATATACAAAAATTAGCCAATTTATTCCATCAAATCGGTTGTCTTAAAATAAAAAAAGAACGTGTTACTATGTATTTAAAAGCAGTAACAGGTACATTAATTGAAGCCGAAGCTGACTTAACTGAAGTAGATCGACGTATTTGGCCAATGCCTATTCAATCAATGATGTTAAGTAGACCTAAATCTGAAATGGATACCAATATGGAATTTGATCGAGAGAAAGCACAACACGATTGCGAAAACTTATTACATGAACACTTACAAAAATTAAATGAACAAATTGAACAACATGAACAAGAACTCATGGAAAAAAAGAAATCTTTATCAGAATACACATCAACATTAGATAGTTTGATTCAAAATTATGTTCAAGAGTATGGTATGAAGGTACTGGAAATAAAAAACAAATTTAAAAAGCAAATCACTTTCTATGATTATGAATCCGAATTACTTGAACGACAATACTTAAAAGAAAATCCAAACTCATATCAAGTAAGAAATAGATTTAACTAAAATAAATTCTATTGAATCTATCATGTTTTGTTTTTTAGTTGGAAGTAGCCAAACGGCTTGTTGAATTGCGACGTCATGTTGAAAAATCAAAACGAGATTTACTCGAATTAAAACAACGTGTCCTTTACAATAAATCATCCATACCGTGTAATACCATTCCAATATCAACAACGAATCCTTTGTCAGACAATGGAAAGCGGCAACGGCCATTATTCAATACAGATGAAAAACAACTTCAATGGGAAAAATTGGATGTATTATCTGTATACATTCTAGAAGCTGAATTAACCTATTATCGATTTCAATATGAATTTGATAATGAATTAGCTAAAATGTGGCAAAATCATCGTCAATTATTGATGAATAAAGCTATGACGACAGGATTAACTCAATTATTAGAGAAACGTTTCAATAATATTGAGAATCGATGGAGAGATATTTATAATTTTCGTATGGATTATTATGTCATAAATTCTTATGATGAATTAAATTCTCCAAATTCTACTCAAACTGAACAACGTTTAAAAACGAATATGTCTCCGGCTACTTTATATATTGATACACGAAATTCATTGAATGAAAAACAATCCCAATTATTATGTCGTGGTCCAAGTTATGTACCATCATGTTTAATGTATACCTTTTTTACTAATGAATCCATGAATGATATTGTGAAAAAACAATTTGCACCATTACAACATCAATTAATGGCACTTTTTCAAAAATATAAAATTAATGTGCATTTATGTATGGAAATTCAAGATAAATTACTGAAAAAATTTCAACATCTTTTTTCATCTTTTATACCTGCCACACTTTTTCAACGTGCTATGTATGAAAAAAATTTAATTCAATCTATTCAATATGTTTTGGATAAAAATCAACTTATTCTACGACGTACAGCTGATAATATGAATACATTTTATCTAAGTGATTTGTTAGAATTTGAAAGAAAAGCTGAACGATACTTAACATTATCAGATGATTTCGAAGTACTCATTGATATCAATGATGTCAATAATGAAAAACCATTAGATGTTGCATTGAAAGATATGATCAACTCGATGAATTTACGTTTGAATGAATTAAAAACACATAAAGCATTGAAAGAAGATGTATGTCAACGATTAATGGCTGATCCAACTAAAACTAAACTCCCTTATTTATATTTCTTACCAAACATATCTCAGGTACTACTATTTTTTTCTAGTAAAATATTCTACATTCAATCAAATTTTCTCTTTCATTTTAGGATAATAGTGTAAAATTAGTACCTGTTATTACATCTCATGGTAATGCAACATGGAAAATTGCTAAATTTTTAAATCAACATTTACGGCCCTATATCGATGAACAAATTCAATCTACCACATTCTATGATGAAGCTGATTTTCTTCGAAAATTTCATCAATATGCTACTATAGGACGTCGACTTAAACGCGATACATTATTTTGTACTATTAAAATTATGAACTATCATACATTAGATACACATAAACAAATGTTGGATGCAGTTGAATTCTTTTTAAATCGTAACTTAGCTACTAATAAACTTCAATCATTAACAATTCAAACAATTCGAAATTTATTACATTTATTTCTACATAACAATATTTTTTATTATAAAGATAATATTTATAAATTCGTTCAAGGTAGTCCTAATACAGTACCTTTAACAGAAACATTAGCCAATGTTTATATGAATATATGGCAAAACAAAATTTTGAAAGAAATGGATACAAATATAGAATTTTTTGGAAGGTAACCTTTGTATAAATAAATATATATTTTTTTTTCTTCTTTCTGTACATCAATGCTTTCAGATATAAAGATCAAATATTTTTCACATGGAATAAATCGACTGCATTACAACTTGAAACATTTATTGAAGATCTTCGACTTAAACATCGAAATGTACATTTTCAAAAATTAATTGGAACAAGTGTATCCTTTCTCAATGTTTATCTTGAAAATCGACATGGCATATTATATAGTCGAGTATATTATGATCCTAATATTCCACGATATACATTACCATATGTTACTGGTCATGCAAAAACAGCTTATAGTAGTTGGTTACGAACAGCTTTAATTCATGCTGTTTGTTCATGTACATCAGTTGATGATTTTCAACAAGAAAGAATCTATCTTGAATTAACGTTTTTATCGAATGGTTATTCGTTATTATTTGTGGAAAGCAATGTCAAAAATGTTTTTACTTATTTTAATGCATTACGAATGAAATATTCAAGAAATCAAATGGCCTATGATAAATTTCGACAACAATGTTTTGATTTTATTCAACAACGTCAACGACTTTCACAAGAACTGCAAAAGTTTGATGATCATGGTTGTCTAACTGAATTTAATTATATATGTGATTTTGGTCCAAGTTGTCGATTTAATCGAGATTTTCTTAATCTCTGGCATAGCTATTTTCCACAACATCCTTATCTTGGCGAACAAAATTACAAGATTCTTATATCACCAAAAGATTTTCATTCATTAAATAGTTTATTAGCAAAGGAAAATCCATGCTTTAAAGTAGAAAAATAATATATCCATTGGCCACTCTTTTGTACTCTATGACTTTATTGTTGTAATGACACGATAAGTTGTTCTTATTTGTTTATATGAATGTATAGATTACTGTATTGAAATGTTTTTTTTTCTCTATATTTTTTTTTCTTCATGGAACTATTTGTTGAAAAAAAAATGAAAGTATAAATGAATTATTATATGAAAACTTTGTATCACTACATATTTCCCATTGATCGAATATAAGTTTCTTGCTATTCTTTGTTTCAGATACATTACAAAAGATTTATTGTATTTTAAAATAATGTCGACTGGTTCACAACAAAAGCGCGAACTAGATGTTCCACAAAGTATGAAAATTTTCTAGTAAAACTGTAAATCTATTTCTGTTTTTGATACATTTTAGATGGTCGTCAATTGTCTTCTGAAGATAATGTTCAGTCGTTGGAATCACTGAGTCATGTACGAAATAGGAATTTCGGTAGAAACGTTAGTGATTTTTTTACTCTTTCCTAATAGGCATCTGGAATATCAACTTCCTCAATCGATTCTATGTCAACAAGTAGCCAAAATAATGAACGATATTTAAGTCAACAGCTTCGAACAACCAATACGATTGTCAACTTAGTCGATTGTATGGAATGCTATGTAAAAGTTGAACGTTGTACGGTAATTTCTCAACTGATAAAAAAAAAACAATAACATTCTATATATAAATTGTTTTTTTTGAATTATTCAATTTCAGTTCGAATATACAGGATGCATTACCAACGGAACCATGACAAAAGATATAACTATCGAATTAAAAGAGCAACGTGAAGAACAAGAAGTCGGATCAGAACAACAAGAGAATCAGATCAAAACAAAAGTTGTCGAAGCCAAAGATGAATATCCTGTTCGTCCTGATAATCTCCAAGTTAAAGACACCATCCGTAACGTGACCATGACCTCATTTCCATCACCAGAATATGCATATTGGAACGATGGATCTTTTTAAAACTAGGACTACTTAGTTTTCAACTTTAATTGTTTTTTTTGTTTTCTTGTTATTATGTTTTTGGTTTTGGTTGCAAGTACATTTTCATGATACTTGGAAATTAGTTCAGCTTAATCTGCTAGTTATTGAAAAATGTTGTGTCTTTTTCAGTCTCTTCAATATTTCAATTAATTCAGTCTTATTGGATTCACCACCAGCAACATCAGTCGACATAAAAGTAAAAAAGTATCTAAATTATTTTTCTTTTTTTTTTGTGTATGAAGAATACTGTTTCTTAATGTAGGTTTGATATGAATACGAAAGACAATTGGATGACCTTATCTCAATGGACCAATGCTAATAATAGACCTACGTTCCAAGATCTCGCATCTCAATTATTAATGGATAATTCAACTCGATCTTTGCAACAACCTTGCACAAGTGGTAGAACAACAGCAGCATTGAAACCGTCACCGACCATACCCGACGTTGATATAGTTATCGATGAAAAAATAGACAATTCTTGCATAAAATCATTGGAAGAGAGTTGAACTATAGTGTCAATGAATAAAATTTGGAATTTTTTATTGTGACTTTTGAAGTGATTATTTTTTTCATGTCTTTGTTTTCTGTGCTTCTATGGGTGACTGTTGTATATAACTTATGAAAATTGTTTTTCAATAAACTCCACTTATTTACACTTGAAATTTGATGTAAATAATCAACGAAATGACTACTCATTATCAATTGTTATGAATGCGGGGGTTCAGAAATATCATTCGGAAAATACCTATTTTTCAATGAAAATACCTAGTGACCGACATTTAACCTTTTGAAAGCTCTATAATTCTAAAAATTTCGTATATTATCAAAAATGTGTGCTGATCGATATTTCACGTTTCGGTCATTCTGGAAAACTGATCATTAGTGTTTTTTAAAGAAAATACCTGGTCAATGGCACTTAACCTTTTCCAAATTCTAGAATTTTAAAAATTTAATATATTTTCTTTAAATATGTATGTTGACCGATAATGAACCTTTTCGTTGTCCTAGAATTTATGTTACCGAATTTTTTAATAAAAATGTCATGTGACCGATACTTAACCTAGCGAACATTCTAGAATGCGAAAAATACCCAATTTGTATTCAACTAGTCTAGTGACCGATGTGTAGCCTCTCGCTAATGCTTGAATCACGTGCACTTTAGGCCGTGGAAAATTAAAAGGAAAACGAAAGAGAAAAAGAAAAAAAAATATATCAAATTAATAAATTAATATATTTATTTGTTAAATTCACTTGGTCAAGAATACATCATGGTTGGTAAAGTACAAACAAAATTATTTAAAACAGTAATGAAACGGGCGACGCGGATGCGTGACCCATACCGCCAACCACCATGGCCCAACAACAACAGCAATACAACAACAACAACACCTAAGGCCGCGAAGGCCAAAAAGGTGCAAAAAAATATACAGGTATAGAACGGAAATTCATCTGACTATGAGATTTATGTTTCTAATGTAGACCTATAGACGGTTCGATAACTCAGTACTATGAATGAAAAAAAAAGTTTATTTTTTTATATGTTGGAATAGGTCGTGAACGAACAGGTTCAACAACTACAACAACAACAACAACAAAAAGAAGAATAAAATTTTATTCATCAAGGATATGGACCTATTAGTAAAAAATAATTTTTTTTTGTTTTTTTTTTGTTTTAAAAAAATATAAATGTTGAACCGTAATTAAGTAATTTAGGATAGGTTATGCGTTTGCATACAACATATGATGAATAACGATGTTTTTTTTTTGGATAGAGCTATTGAAACGCCATTAAATTATTCTTAGCCTTTTCAAAACTTTAGAATTTATACAACAGTGGAACGCTATATACATCTATTTCTTTCATAGGGTCCTCATCATTACATAGTATACTTTAGTTAGATAAGGAAAATTATACTCGTGTAATTTAATATATACCACAAATTTTTTCGAATAAATAATATTTTTTTTTATTTGAATGCAAGTTATATAAATATATATTTCTATTCTAGATATAAATATTAAAAAAATTTTAGAATATTATTATTATAATGTCTAATGTTAATCAACAACACCAACATGTGAGAAAAATAAATTTATGAAAAAAAAACGAAAATACTATCTCGTATGATTTTTTTTCTTCTTTAGATCATTACTAATAAACTTTATCAATTATTAATTTTTCTATTAGATGTCAACGATGATGGAAGAGTATGACGGACAACTCACTATATAATGCAAACAGAATTTTTTTTTCTTTTTATTTTAGTTCGTATTGCCTTTTTCTCGTCGATTAATTCTTATCGATCGTCCATTTGAAAATGAAAAGAAGTAAATATTTTTATAATATTTTTACCTACGATTTTTTTTTATCTCTATTCTTTTTCAACTATTTCTAGAAATAACATCAATAAAAATAATACAAATGGTGATAATTCAAGTCAATCATCTGAAAAATATTCTTCAACTGACAGTGAAATGTGTGATGGTGGTAGTGAAAACGATACATCATTTGATTCATTCACATTACCACCATCACCATTTGTTTGTGATCCATATGAATCATATGACTGGGAATGTTGAACTTTTTTTAATTTGTTTTTTGTTTTTTTTTTGTTATATACTTGTAACTTTTGTTTTTCTACTTGTGAATAAAAAAATTAAATATGAAACTTATTCCATCATCTTGTTCTATTAAATGATAAAAGACACATATACATAATGGATGAGTTTTTAGACTCGAAAAATTTTAAACGTTAGATATATTCATCATATGTAAAGAGATAGGACTTAACTGAACATTAAAACGCTGAACAATGAAAATTCATGTGAGAAATGAATGTTGATATTTTTTTTAAGAAGAAACTAATGATATCGCACTATTGTATTTTATTTGAATTTCGAGATTGAAATTTTTATTCAATCATATGAGTATAAATAAAAGCGAAAATAAAGGAAGTTGTACTAACACATGAAATGTAATCATAAGGTCTCATATCTCTAATGCTATATCTATAGATAGTAATAACTTCAAAAAATATATATGTAACTTCGTGACTATTATTAAAAAACAAGTATTAGTAAATTATTGTTTAAGGCAAAATGCTATGTATTACATAAAGTATTTAAATTATTGGAGGTAACATCAAAATTGTCTTGGTATGTTTTCTTCAATTGACCTTTGTGTGAGACAATGCTTTTTGTTGCAAGTGAAATCTATAATCAATTGTTCAAGATAGTTTTATTCAAATACAAAGAAAACAACAAGTTCTTGATCGTTGTCTTTTTAATATTACAATATCACGCTTTATTTGTGAAACTCTTTTCCTCGCACCCACACTGTTGCGCTATGTGCGGAAGTACTAAAGTACGAAAATTTCCAATATATATTTGATTATAAATTATGAGTCAAAGTTATCTTTTTATTTCAATGCTACTTTTAACATGAAAATAGAGAAAATAAGTTAGACATTATTCGAGGATACTCTAAGAATAACCATAAGAAAGGAATGAAGAAGACATATTAAAAAAAGATTCAAACATGAAAAATAAAAAATTCGATTTCTAATTGTGAAAATGCAAATGAAATCACCTGGACTTTTCTGAATGTTGACATTCTACCTAATAATTCGAATATTTCTTTGAAAATGCGAAAATCAAGTTTTATCTTCACACATCGACGTAAAATTTGTACAACAATATAAAAAAATAATTTTCATTGAAATCGAAAATAAAAAAAAATATTTGACGTATATATATGCAACAAGTAACATCAATAATAAATATGAAAATATATAATATGATATTGCCGGTATTTATAAAAATGTATCAATTTCAAGTTCACTTAAAATAATTTTTGTATACATATGATTTTTATAAAATTGCAAAATAAAATGAATAACCATAATCTAAATTTTCATTAAATTAATTTATACTAAATTTTGCACTCAAACATACGTTTAAAATAACATGGATAATTAATTTAAATTTCAAGTAAATTAACACCATTGAGTTCTACTTCAAAAAAAAGTATCAAATAAAAAAAACTTTAAAAAACAAATTAACAATTATCAACTCAGTTTCTAAAAAATATAATTAAATGAATAGCACTATTGATCGAATTTTATACTGGAATAAACAATGACTAATTATCGAACGTTGTTCAAACGACTTTTTCGAGTGGATAGTGATGTTCAATTTTTTTTCTTAGTATACATATTTTACTTTATCAAAAAAAATTCAAATATGTAAAATAAAAAATTTGATCTATATAAAAGTACAAAATGATATAAATAAACATAACCTATAATTTCATTAAATTAATTTACAATAAATTTTGCACTCAAACATACGTATCACATAACATGAATATTTTATTTAAGTTTCAGTTAAATTAACACCATAGAATTCTACTACAAAAAATATATAAAATGAAAAAAACGAATTCAATTCTAACGCCTAATATATAGACTGAATTACCTTCGAAGTAAAAAAAAAAAGAAATTATAAGTTATGTAGTTTGA